ATACTTTCATTGTACAGGGCACTGGTTAGGCCACATTTGGAATATTGTGTTCAATCTTGGGTTCCTTACCTTAGGAAAGACATTTAATTGTTGGAAAGGTTCAGAGAAGGGTTACTAGAATGGTGCTTGGAATGGAGGGGTTGTCATACGAGGAGAGGCTGAAATATCTCAAACTGTTTTCTCTTGAAAAAAGAAGAGTTAGGGGAATCTGATTGAGGTGCTTAAGATTGTAAAGGGAATTGATAGTGTTAATGTATCATCTTTTTTTATATTTAACAATGAGAATAGTAGGACTACGTGACACAAATATAAATTTTGGCAAGGTAGGAGTCATCTGAATTCAGCTAAGAAAGTTTTATTTTCTCTAACAGGTGGTTGGCCTTTGGAATAGGTTCCCTTCAGATGTTGTAGAGGCAGTAAATTTAAGTGAGTTTAAGAAAAAGCTAGATAAGTATATAAATGGAAAGGTTTGGTTTATATTTTTTCTATTTTAATTTAGTTTTGAGGATGGAACAGCCGAGATGTTGTCCCAAAATATTATGTTATGTTATCAACGAACTAAAATTAAAACTTTCTTTTTATAATTTAGCCATGATTAAATCTTATTTTAAACCTACTTACTCAAAATGATAGTTTTTTATTTCAACTATTGGTTCGGTTTTAAGGAATGACTGCAGTTACTCTGACTGGAAAACACAAAAGTGTATACATAAATTTTATTCTCTAAATGTGTGTATCTAACAATATAACTATTTATATAAACTGACAGTTTTGTCACACTATATTAAAATTATCTTTCTTAATATATGTACACTCATGTGCAAATTAACACTAAAACTACTTCTGAAAAATACATACTGTTGTGACACTGTTCTTTCATTGGTGGGTTCTTTTAAGTTATCTGGTAAAGTAATTCAAAGTTCAGTCCATGATAAAAAAATTGTTTTTCTTCCTTAATGTTTTTACAAGCTTGAACAATGTGTAACTTGTAGGCTATATTTACAAATGATACCAACTGCAGTAATTTGAACAATAAATTTACTTGTACCACTTCATGGGTGAAGCAAAAAAACACACAGACTGTTTCACTCTTGCAGCTAGAAAAATTTTATCATCTTCATGATGCTTCAATAAACTCCATATTTATAGTCTACACTTGAATTTACTAGAAACTCTAATGTCAAATCTTTCAGAACTTTCTTGGTATTCTAAACCTAAACTATTAAACTTTTCAATCTTAAGGTCATCATTATGATTTGCAGCTCCCTCTAGCAAACAAACAAATTACAACATTAAAAATATAGCTTATAACAAAATATATACATATTTTAGAATTGGAATTGTATAAGCTAGGCACATGATTGAATTCAACTTGCTTTAGCATGCCAGCAACTACCTGTTAATCATTTCAGTACTAGCCTAACATCAAGTTTGATTCCAAGTAGACATAACTCATAAAATTCTTGGAGAAAAACAACAACACATATATATAATGCATACATACACATACAGAAATGCCACAATCACAGATACAAGCCATCACACCATAGCAAAAATTTTATTAAACATGTAAATACAATACATTCCAGACCTTATTTCAACAAACTGAGTATACATTATTACCAAGATACCAACACTAGGTATCTAAAGCCAAGATGCTGCACATGAATATTATGCTAAATAAATATACCCAAGTATGCACTTGGATCCTGGCAGTACTGGTAATGTATTAAAAAACAAACAAAAAGTCTTGTCTTAAGCTGTTCCACTCAAACTTGTATAGTTCCAAGTTACTGCTACAGTGCATAACCTGTCCAACCATTATGCTCCATTAGAAAATCAGTTTCATTTATGCAAAGTTTTCAAACTGAGGATTGAATGAACAATGCGGCTAAGTGCCCTACTATGTTAATAACTATGAAACTAAAATATCTGATCTGAAAATGCTTTCCTAAGTGAATTCTTTCAACAGATTGGTAAATAGTCAATTGTTTGTTGAAGTTTTTAGGTATTTATACAGTTCACACAACAAACTACTGCTTTGTTATTTGGATACTGTTTGCATGTGTATGTAAATTAAGCTAGAACAATCTTTGAATATAAGTTTCAATTTTTCTGTGTAAGTATTCTATGATGGCTGTAATTTGTATTTAGAAAGTTGGATCACCATTTGCATTCAGAAGCACTCTGACAGTATGACAACCTGAGCTAGAAGTATTGTTGAATGTTTCTATTTGTCTTTGTCTCCTCATGGTATCAGTATAGTTGAAAAAACTCCCTACAGAAAACATATAGTAGGAGTAAAAATGTAATGATCAATACAAGCTCTTAAACAAGATGTGTAGAATTATGTACAGTTACCAAAGAAAAATTATTATTCTAAAATTTTAAACATTTTAAGACATGAATCTATTAAATGTTAATATTTTAAGAGTATTAAAAAAATTTAAGTTTGATGAGGGGACCCAATTTATATGGTGTCTTCTTTGTAATTAATTTCCAATTTTCCATGTATTTTTCAATATTGCTATGTGTTGGTAATTAGTAGCCAGTTTTCTGAATCTTTTTTTTTATGTTGTCTACCAGGATGAAAGTTATGATGGATCATGATTCCTTGTCCACTATAGTTTATATCAGTCTTATCTTGACTCAGTATTTGAGAGTCAAGACAAAAATGTAAAAAGGGGTTTTAGTAGACTTATTTTCTATGAATTAAATAGTAGTTTCTTCATCTAACCTCTAAGAAGAGTTGGAGAACATCATTGTAATTTGATTACTTTTGAATATTTCATTTAATGATTTATAAAAAAGGATATACGATTTCAACTTCAGTTGAATATTAATTATTATCAAATTTTAGACAGTAGTGTATTCAAAACAAAGTAAGACATATATGCAATTTAGGGGATAATTTTTGCTTTTTAATCTCTCGAAGAGCACGCATCATCGAAAATTATTTACGCTAAGAAGAGAAATCTCCAGCGACGATTTTATATTCTATTTTACTTTTTCTAATGACTTCTATTCTATCTCACACAAGTTAGGCCTTACGGTTTTACATAATTTTCCTATGAAGACAAATTTAAATTTTAATCGTAAATTGTACTTGTAGTTGTAGGCCCATCAGTGTGTTAGTACTAGATGATACAATTAACAACAAAAAAACAACAACTATGGAATGGCAAGGAAGAAGTTACAGTTACATTAGTAATATATTTCATAAATAAGTACGAAAACCTTACTCACTCAGGAATGAGATGAAATTTTAAATAACCTGGTTTTCCGTCTCATTGAAGTTAATGGCTACGATAGTGTAACTCAGGACCATAACTACTTTTACTTTTGTTGCCCACACTTATAATTTACTTAAATGATCTTGTAGATTATAATAACTATAAATATAATAAGAAATTATTCGTCGTTTATTCATTATACTCGATATACACCATGAGAGGGTGTGTCACTCCAACAGAATAGTAATTGACGAAGAAGCACTGTTGTCAATATAGTGAATTTCTAAATGTTAAATTCACAAACGAACAATGTTTCATAATACACAATTAAGATCTCTATTTAAACCGATCAACGGTTGTAAATTTCACTATACATGTTTCAACGTGGTTTCACGTCAACCTTTAATAGTGAATATGTTGCTAAATCTGGATACCAAATAAGGCTCCTAGCGCAAAATTAAGTGCATTCATTGAAAAACTTAGCTCATTCTAACGACTGGCTATGATGTTTGTTCACGATAAAAGTTTTTAAGTTCAATTACCGTTATAAAAATGTTCTTTTGATTTACAGCTACAATTGAAAAATGGTGTCTTGTACAGGGTAATTATGAGTATTTACCGCACATCTTGCATAAAACAAACCGCTCAAAAGTAGGATTTTAAAATTTTTGGACTCCCTATCATCAACTCCTTTTAAAATCGTGAACGAAACAATATGAAAACCAGACTCACTTTAATCGTATTAAAGTCATGTATAATACTTATAGTTATATTAGGTATAGATTAAATATTATTAAAAAGTTTATCTATATAAGCAAAATGCATATATGACATTTGTTACGTATTAGAATTTCGAATAGTCCGAAGCG